CCCAAACGTGTTGAACAAAACTGCCCACATCACATTCATATATAACACACTCATCTCAAGAGTAGGAGGTATGCCTGAAGATGTATCCGTTTTCAAGCCTTTATGTTTCCCCTTTCATGTTGCTTTCTTTTACTTGGTGAAAATCCAGCTTTTAATGTTGTTTATGTCTTATGTTTAATATGCTTTAAGACACACCATGTGCAAATTCATAAGTCGACAGCATTGCTGAGTATTTTCAGTGAACCAAAGTAGAGCCAGACCGATATATCGGCCGATATTAGGCATTTTTCAAAATATCGGTATCGGCAGTTATAATGGCTGATAAATTAATATTTAAAAAATAAAATAAAAACGGACGAAACACGCTTCAATCATCTCTCCTTGGCCTGTTATATTGAAAATGTATGTTTTACAATTTGCAGTATGATGTTATCTATTGCTAAATTATGGCTCATCATAGACTAGCTAACCACAAAGCTAGCTAACGCCACTATCATCAGTGGAAGACCGCTAACGTTAACATTAATGAGCTTGGAAACCACAATTAACTTTTTCTGCCTAAATAAAGTAATTATTACCGTATTTGGGTCAATGACGTATAAGGCCTTTGAGAGGCCCATTTTTAAAATACTTGAAATAATAATATATTTGTCTATTTTCTAAACATGTGGAGTGTAGTCTACACATGCAAGTGTGTGAAAACTTCAAAGAAAGATATTTTAGTGCTTTTAAACTCAAATGAATAGGGCAATGACCTTAAAAAAGTCATTTGGGGCGACCGTAATTTATCTTATAATTAATAGATTTCCTTTGCATAAGTTATATTTTAAGAAGTATCAGTAATTAATTGAACTGTTTAAGAAAGATATACTCATGTGTCCTTTCATTTATTGCAAATGATGTTAAATACATTTTTATCTATAATGGCAGTGTCACCCTCATAAAGCAATTACATATTTTTTTTACTCATAAAATCCATAAAACTGATTTAAAATGTGTAGATATAGTATCCACTTATTGATGTTATACCAATGAATTATATTTCAACCAAAATGGACAGATATTATTTTTTGAATTTACTGCAGAATTGAATATAGTTGGTTACCCCACATGACAAATGGTCGCCCCACATGATGAAAAACAGCAGGCAATTAAGACTACTCAATGATTTTGATAGTTAAAACACATTTAATGGAATTTTATGAAGAATCAGCATATTTAATGAAATTTTATGAAGAATCAGCATTTCCATTTCATTTGACACATTTCATAACATTAACAGTTTCCTCACTATTTCATTTGACACAAAACCATCATATTAAAATGTTCAATACTAATGCATTAAACGCTTGGACATAACATTGAACAGCATTTTCCTTTTTCATTTTCATTCCATTAATCACTTAAACATACAATGTTTGCATTTTCATTACTATTTTCATTTAACAGTTGAATATAGCAGCATTCTGCAGACACATTGAACAGCATTTTCCGCTGCCTGTAGCGAGCAGTCTTTTCTTTGCTTGTTAGTGGGGCCATCTAGAAAAAAACGTATATTTAAACATACACAGAGTTAGAAAAAGAATTGGAAAAAGTAGAATGAATGCTTAATATTCACACATTTCTTTGATAAAAAACATAATAATCAAAAAGAAGTAAGCTTAGTCCTCTCTGAAGTAGCAGGGAAATTATTGAAATTTAGAAAAAATATGTGGTGAAATTTAGAAAGTTATTTAAAACAACTAAATGCATATAATGAACGTAAACATTTGCATACAGAAACTACAAATACATGATATGTGTTTTCTATAATTTAAGCAATCAGTGGCGGTCGCCCCACATGATGCTTGGTCGCCCCAGATGATATTTTCAAGTTTAATCAAGTATAACAGGCTAATGCTTAGCTATAGAGCCCAAGTTAGCTTCTTCTAACCACATATCACTGACAAATTTACAATTTACAAATTTAAAAATAAAGATTTGCGTATAAAACTTATAATTTACAGTTTTAGGTTGGTCGCCCCACATGATATCAAAATGTGACGTATACACTGCAGCAGTTTTAAAGAGGATTTGTTTGTAAAAATGAGAGTGGCAACTCACCTGCTAGTTGTCTCTGTGGGACCCTCACCATGAGGCTGGCTGATGCAACATCCTCTTTGAGATGATTATCAGAATATAAGTCCCTTATTTGTATTTTCTTGATGGTCGCCCCAGATGATATTTCAGATAATGAACATCTTCGGACAAGATTTGTTTGTTTATTATGATTGAAATGTGTGTACAAATGTTTCATAACTTTGTCAATCAATGGAAAACAAGTTTAAAATTATGCCAAATAGGGTAAGGATTATATTTAAATTATTTTAGTTTGATTTAATACCAGTTGTCCAAACAGAAGTCAAGGCCGGACGGTCGCCCCACATGATGTTTTTACACTTCAGGTGGCAGAAAATGCCAATAAACCAATTAGTTTTAGAGAAATAAGAGTGGGCATATGTATAAGGGAGGTGGTAGACATACATGTTATAATTTTATTAATTTTAATGTTTATTAATTGGTAAAAAGTTCAGTCGGACAGAAAAAGCAAGCGTCACGTCATTGACCCATTTATAAATAGCATATCTCTAGTTACAGTCCCTGCATTGTAAAATGTAAGTTATACTTGCGAGGAGTGAACATTTAGACATAGAGCGAAAGTATCAAACGTATCTTGTGCAGAAAAGTTAGCTTTTCTTTTACACGTGTGTGAAATCCAACAATATTTAATAAAAAAAAATATCGGCCGATATATCGGAATATCGGATTTTAAAACCCAAAAATATTTGCATCGGTATCGGCCTTCAAAATCCTTTATCGGTCGGGCTCTAAACCAAAGACAGTTTTAAAAAACACGGTTTGAAATCGCTGGTGTTTCTGACGTCACAAACGACCTTGTAACCAATCAGATCAACGTGTGATCGCCAACCTGTGGATCTCAGAGTGAGTGAGTGGAGGCGGGGCTCATTTGCATATTCGTGAACCTGCGCATTCTAAATGAGGCGAGGGTGTTGAGTTATATTCAAGATATTTTAAGGCATGAAGAATTATTTTAAGGAAAAAACGTTTAAATGTGTTATTTTGCTGAGTTTTAAGGGATAACGTTTTTACTAAATTTTTTAAACGTTTTTTAAATTGGTCTTTGTCGGCCATTTTTCATCTCTCTCCAGAGCTAGATCCTTTCAGATTTAGTCTTTTAAATCTGGTTTCAGGTTTAACGAGCTCACAACACTCGCTATAAACGTTTTCTGTCGATTAATCACAGTGTGACATCATCAGTGAACAGCCAATCACACGACACATGGAGAGCCGAGTAGCGCAAGTTACCAAATCCAATCTACTTTCTTTAATCTTTAGGCCAAAAAAAGGATCCCTCATGTTTACAGCAGATGTGAGAAGGTTACAGTGTTCCCCTCATCAAAAATTCATTTTTCCTGAAAGGTCAGCAAAAGGGCAAGGCAATCCCTGGGAACCATTTTATTAAACACAGACCACAAGGTGAAGCTTCACTCTTCACAAAATACAGTGCATAAAAACACCAAAACATAATGAGTTCTGGTCTTCAAATCAACGTTCTAGGTTTGTATCTGCTTGGTTTATAACGCTTTAACCAAGAATAATGAATGGAAATCCCGTTGTTTTGAACATTCGTTTGAATGAATCGTTTTAGGAACCGATTCAGTGATCAATCTCATAATTCAAGTTCGAGGAGGATGGTTATATTTACGGTATGTCACGTTGTCAAGCTCATTTCAGGTTCTTAAATACACAAACCAATTGCAAAGATAGAAACTTTTGCATCACAAGTGTCCCATTCTAACGAGGAAAACGCATTTAACAACCACAACAACGCGCGCACATCAAAACAAAAAGCTACGATCAGTCGGTGAACGATTCACTCGAATTCCAGACAGATTCGGTCTGGCTTGCGACTCGGTTCGAATGATTCTTTTCAAATGAACCTCATCCTCATCACATAAATTATCGCTTTGTTCTCCTGCACAGATGGGAAGTGAAAATATATAAGCCCTCATTGACGAATATATAATGTTTTTACATATTATTGTCAAAACGGGTTAGAACATTGTATGATCACGAAATGCACAAGCAGATGAAAAGACGCATCATTTCCATTGCCGAAGCCTGACAAAGGAACATGATGTAGAAAATGTTAAAAGGCCAGTTTACTCACGTATGTGCGCAGCTGGCGATGCTGACAGGCTTGTGGTAAACCTCCAGACAGATTGGGCAGGAGAACTGGCTCTCTAGACTCTCTCCAGGTGCGGCTGATGAGGCTCCATTTTGCTGCTGATGTTGCCTGATCTGAGCAGCCGAAACAAAACTGCGGAACATCGCCATCACGAACCACTAATACTGCCGATGCGAAGAGGATTCCGTGTTTTTAACGAACGTATCGTGATTTATACGACATTAGATAGCGCATCTGCAATCTCCCAACACTGTTAACCGAGGAGGACACGCCGTTGTTCCAAAGAAGTAAACATTACATGGTAGCTTTAACGGAACGGATTAGGCGAACAAAAAGATGGGAGTTGTAGTTCTTTACAGTGATCATTTTAGCAGAGCGGTGGTTCCATAGAACTACATTTCCCAGACATCGCATTCAAAACAATTCCATGGAGCATAGATAGATGGCGCAAAACTAATATAGCGAATGTAACAAATAATTTATACAGTATAAAATAGTATTTTGATCAAATACTATTAATACTATTTTTGATCAAAAAACGTTAAGACATTGATATAAAATATAGAAATAAATAACTCATCACGATGCTTCTTTTCTGTGTTAAATAAAAAACAATATGTTTTTTAGCGCATTTTTGCACGTGTATGTGGTATTTAACAATATTTACACAAAAAGTAAACATTACACATTGAGATAATAAAAAAAAAGAAAATCAATGTCAGACGATGCTAAAAGCAAACATATGGGCGTGGTCTCTTACGTCATCAAAAGGGGTCAGGAAAATTCTCTAGACTGTCACACGTGAAAACAAGCTTCTACGAAATATGTGTGATTTTGACTATTCTTTTAAATAAGTTTTGAGAGGATCTGTCGCTTTTAAACAGACTCGTATCGTTGGACGAGTGACATCGTGTGTTTCCTTTCATAGAGTCTGTGAGTTTGAAGCCGTCATGTGTGAAGTTGAGGAGGATTATAATGGTCTGGAGTGTAAACAGGAGAAGAGACCTGTGCCGACGTGAGTTGAACTAAACAACCACTGTGTGTGTGTGTCAGAATTAAGAACCATGTTTTGGACAATATAGTGATGATTGTACCATTATATTTTTGTTGTGGCGATGTGAGCGAGTGCATCGTAAATCCATCTTCCAACCCGTGTTTTCTTATTATCCTGAATCACTAAGTTACGACTATAACAAGTTTATATTCGGACTATTTAAGACCGAGTGGGACATCAACCGCTGCGGAGTAGCACAGTACCTGCGTGACTCGTCATAGACATAAACAGTGAGAAGTAGTTCCGTCTATAATGTTCTTCCGCAAGACTGGAGCGTCAAAAGTTTTTGTTCAATATATATATATATATATATATATATATATATATATTTGTATTTTGAGAGAAGTTCGTGGTACTAATTAATATCTAAGATGTAATCATGATTTTATTCCCATTGACATTATATTTTCTTCTAATATTTTTTTATCGCTTCTCAATTAAAGCAGTATTTCATGTTGTAATAAAGACTGCCTTTAAAATAATTCTTTTGAAGGCAGATTAGTGCCATCTGGTCGGAAGTAAAAAAGAAAAACGTATGTAATGTTGTGGTGTAACCCCTAGATTCATATATAGCTCAATATAAGAGGCGTATACATTAGTAAGAGATTAATACTTACTTTTATTAGGTTTTGGATTTTGATATATATTTACACATTCTTAAAGGCTACTTTTTGTCAAGGGTTAGATTTTTTTTCTTCTTTTTTTTAAATGTTCATAACAATAGTGCATAACAATAGTGAATAACAAAATTTTTTTTAATGTAAAAAAAGAAAAACGGTAAAGAAAATGCTGTTTTTTTTGTTATTTTAAAAACACTTTTTTTGTTATTCACATCAACAAATTACAGAATCTTTAAAATGTAATTTTTTTTTTCACTCACTAATTTTTTATTTTTAAGTTCAGTTCCCTGTTCTGTGATTTGCTTTACTGTTTTATGTGTTTTCTATCTTATTATTTGTTTTCTTGGCTTTGTAAAGCATGTTGGTCAACACCAGCTGTTTTTAAACGTGCTATACAAATAATTTTGTATATTTTTCAGGCCGGACAGGAAGTGTATGAAGTGTAAGGAGGGAACTGCCGTGCTCATCATTCGTGTCAGTGATGCGTTTTGCCGGTAGGTGAGATGATCATTAATCATCTCCGTGTTTTAATTACGCTTCATTAAGTGATGCAGTCTCACCAAAAACGCTCGTTCTGTCCTCAACTAGGTCCTGCTTCAAGGAGTACTTCGTACACAAGTTTCGGGCCATGCTGGGAAAGAATCGAGTCATATTTCCACAGGAGAAGGTGAATATAAAAACAATATCCTCAGTTTTAGTGGAATTATGGAAAATCTGATTGAGGCAAACTATGACTTGCCTAATAACACTACATGCCTTTTCCCAGACATAATATATTTATCAGCATAAATAATAATAATTATTATTATTAAATCAATGGCATTCATCAACAATGAGTATTGCAAAAAAGCATCAGTTTTATCCATTGATTGAAAACATTGTTTATATTAAACAAACTCTCAATAGAAAAAGCTGTTCTAAACCATCTTGATAATGAGCGTTTGCTTTCTGACCAATCAGAGCAGAGCAGCTCTCAGAGAGGCGGAGCTTAGAGAGACTTAGAAGCGTTTCAGACACTGATGCTGTAATGAACATTATGAGGAAATTAAAGTGTTTTTGACCTTGGATGCGTGTAAACCTGATATAGGAGACGCCAACACAACATTAGGAATCTTTAAAATGCCATAAAAGGGCACTTTAAAAATCCCTTAGATCCTTCATCACCCACACTGACTCAGTTGTTTGGTCACCGACCGTCACACTTTTGCTCTCCTCAGGTTCTTCTGGCTGTTTCTGGTGGCGCCGCCTCTTGCTCAATGCTCTCACAAGTTATAGAGGTAAAATACAGAAATAATATGTGTTTTTAGAGAAATAAAGTGTGTGTGTGTGTGAATGTATTTTTACAATCAGTATTGTATAAAGCACTAGAGAAATAAACATGACTTTCTGCTTTTCTTTGTTCAGGGCTTGAGTCGAGATGCTCCCAAAAAGTTACGATTTATGCCTGGAATCATTTACATCGACGGTAAAGCCCTTCCGACCAGTAGGGCATTATTCATGCATCTCAGAATTATGATATTTTAAACCGGGTTTGATGTGTGTTAGACGGCGGCGCTTGTGGGCGGAGTCAAGAGGAGCGACAGCGATCTGTAGATCAACTGAAGAGCATCTTCACACACACCGGCTTCCCGTACTTTATAGTTCCTCTGGAGCAGGTAAACGGACCCAGTTCCTTCCCTCTGTGCAGAGAGAGAGATAGAGAGAGAGACATTCAATGACTCTCCGACTCACTCACTCACAAACACACTCTCTCACTCACTGACTCACTCACTGACTCACTCTCCGACTCACTCACTCACTCACTCACTCACTCTCCGACTCACTCACTCACTAACTCACTCACTCCCTGACTCTCTCAGTCAATGACTGACTGACTCACTCACTCCCTGACTCACTCACTGACTTACTCTCCGACTCACTCACTCACTCTCTGACTCACTCACTCACTCTCTGACTCACTCACTCACAAACACACTCTCTCACTCACTGACTCACTTACTGACTCACTCACTCACTCTCCGACTCACTAACTCACTCACTCCCTGACTCTCTCAGTCAATGACTGACTGACTCACTCACTCACTGACTCACTCTCCGACTCACTCACTCACTCTCTGACTCACTCACTCACTCTCTGACTCACTCACTCTCCGACTCACTCACTCACAAACACACTCTCTCACTCATTGACTCACTTACTGACTCACTCACTCTCTGACTCACTCACTCTCTGACTCACTCACTCTCCGACTCACTCACTCTCTGACTCACTCACAAACACACTCTCTCACTCACTGACTGACTCACTCACTCACTCTCTGACTCACTCACTCACTCACAAACACACTCTCTCACTCACTGACTCACTTACTGACTCACTCACTCACTCACTCTCTGACTCACTCACTCTCCGACTCACTCACTCACAAACACACTCACTCACTCACTCCCTGACTCTCTCAGTCAACGACTCACTGACTCACTCACTCCCTGACTCATTCTCCGACTCACTCACTCACAAACACACTCTCTCACTCACTGACTCACTTACTGACACACTCACTCTCTCACTCACTTACTGACTCACTCACTCACTCACTCTCTGACTCACTCACTCTCCGACTCACTCACTCTCCGATTCACTCACTCACAAACACACTCTATTGGTTATTGGCTTTCTATTATTATTTCTATAAACTATAATAATAATACTCACTCCTTGACTCACTCACTCCCTGACTCTCCGACTCACTCACTCACAAACACACTCACTCACAAACACACTCACTCACTCACTGACTCACTCACTCCCTGACTCACTCACTCCATGACTCTATCAGTCAATGACTCACTCACTCACTGACTCACTCACTCTGACTTTCTCAGTCAATGGCTGTGTCCAAAATCTCCACTCAAACCACTATTCTCTACCCCCTATGTAGGGGGTAGGGAGTAGAGCACTATATAGTGAGCTCACCAGCATAATAGAAACACCACTTTCGGACACTACATGATCGTCTCTCGGCGCCGTTGATTACGTCATTGCTGTCGCCCGTCCGCCATTTTTACGATCAGCACAATGCATGGTGGTATGTAGGGCTTGGGTTAGTGACCATCGGTTGTACACTACTTTTCAAAATGCATTCTGGGATAGATTGAGTGGACTATATAGGGTATAATAATCATCACTGTACATTCGGACAGCACTACAAAATGGCGAGCTCACTATATAGTCCACTATATAGTGAGTAGTGGGAGATTTCGGACACAGCCAATGACTCACTCACTCACTCACATATTGCCAAAGCATTAATAACACTATATAATAAAAATAATTAAATAAATGAACAATGATAAAAATGAATACACATTTTACATGAAAATAATCAAAGCAATAAAACCGTTTAATCTTCTAATATTTATCAAATTGTCTCTAGGAATATAGTTGGTAGCTACACTACATGTTGGACTCCCTGACTCTGACTGGTGTAATGCTTTGCTCGTGACGTTTCTCAGGTGTTCGCTCTGCCCACCTCTGTACTGGTGCCGGTCACGTCTGATCCCGACCCGTCCAATCCCAGCTATAAAGTCGCTGTGGACCAGTTCATCCGAGAGGAGCAGAAGTGGACAGAAGAGGATTCAGCCAGTGCTGTGGCTCGGCTCACTGTAGAGGACTCGGCTTACTCTCCTGAACACAAGCTGGCGCTGGAGAGCCTGTTCTCATCACTGAACACACTGACGGCGAAAGAGGACATGCTACACACACTCCGGTGAGTCACTCTTTAGAAATCACTCTCGAAGATCTCTCAAATCTGATTGATTTCAAGAAAACATCTGCTCAATTCACTGCATGCTTCCACAAAACTGATTCATTTGAGTCTCTGTATTTGATTTAGACGAAAATCTTTGTTATATAAACATTAGGGCTGGGTATTGAAACAGAATTTATGATTCATTTCGATTTTGTTTCACAAGCTTGCAATTTGATTCAGAATTTCAATTCAGTTTGATTCGATATTGATTAAGTTGGTACATTACTATAATATTATAGGTTAAAATGAACTGATTTGTTTGGGCTACTTCCATTTAAATTACAAAAGAAAGTTTTTAATCATAATAATGTTATAATAACTTTAGAGTATAAAGAAATATCGGTTATCAGCTTTCGAATATAAAGAATTATCGGCTTTCAAATATAAATAGTTATCGGCTTTAAAATATAAAGAATTAGAGGTGATCGGCTTTCGAATATAAAGAATTATTGGTTATCGGCTTTCAAATATAAAGAATTATCGGTTATCGGCTTTCAAATATAAAGAATTGTCGGTTATCGGCTTTCGAATATAAAGAAGTAGCAGTTATCGGCTTTCGAATAAAAAAATATCGGTTATCTGCATTCGAATATAAAGAATTATCGGTTATTGGCTTTAAAATATAAATAATTTATCGCTTATCAGCTTTCAATTATAAGGAATTATCGGTTATTGGCTTTCAAATATAAAAAATTATCGGTTATTGGCTTTCAAATATAAAGAATTATCGGTTATTGGCTTTTGAATATAAAGAATTATCAGTTATTTGCTTTAAAATATAAAGAATTATCGGTTATTGGCTTTCGAATATAAAGAATTATCGGTTCTTGGCTTTCAAATATAAAGAATTATCGGTTATCGGCTTTCAAACATAAAGAGTTATCGGCTTTCAAACAAAGAATTATCGGTTATTGGCTTTCAAACATAAAGAATTATCAGTTATTGGCTTTCAAACATAAAGAATTATCGGTTATCGGCTTTCAAATATAAAGAATTATCGGTTATTGGCTTTAAAATATAAAGAATTATCGGTTATCGGCTTTCAAATATAAAGAATTATCGGTTATCGGCTTTCAAATATAAAGAATTATCGGTTATCGCTTTCAAATATAAAAAGAATTATCGGTTAGTGGCTTTCGAATATAAAGAATTATCGGTTATTGGCTTTCAAATATAAAGAATTATCGGTTATCGGCTTTCCAATATAAAGAATTATCGGTTATCGGCTTTCGAATATAAAGAATTATCGGTTAGTGGCTTTCAAATATAAAGAATTATCGGTTATCGGCTTTCAAATATAAAGAATTATCGGTTATCGGCTTTCAAATATAAAGAATTATCGGTTAGTGGCTTTCGAATATAAAGAATTATCGGTTATTGGCTTTCAAATATAAAGAATTATCGGTTATTGGCTTTCGAATATAAAGAATTATCGGCTTTCGAATATAAAGAATTATCTTTTATCGGCTTTTAAATATAAAGAATTATCGGCCGATATGAAAATATTGGTGCATCTCTAATAGTTCAGTTTCGATTTACTGCTACTCTCTTTGAATCCCTAATAAGTATCGTGCAACAAAGCAGCGCAAAACTAAAGTGTGAACTTATTACTGATAATAACCATGATGGTTATTACAGAATGCCACCATTGACCTCAAACACATGGGAATGCCACTGAACCAATCATAATCAAGAGTAAAGAGTTGAGTGTGTGTGTCGAGACAGACTTCACCTGATCCTGCACGTCGCCCGAGAGAACGGCTTCTCGAAGGTCATGATGGGGGAAAGCTGCTCTCGGCTGGCTGTGAAACTGCTGAGTAACATCGCTCTGGGTCGCGGAGCAGCGCTGGCTTCAGACACGGTGAGGACGCCACAAGAACAAGCCCACGGTTCCTCATGATGACCTCAGAGCTGCGACTAAGATGTGTGTGTGCTTGCATGATTAGTCGTCATCATCTATGGATAACATTTTATAATACTGTTCCTTCATTGATAAATAACTACACAGGGACAAATGTGACCCTGAACCACAAAACCAGCCATTTGTTTTAATTGAGATGTATATATCACATAAAAGCTGAATACATAAGCTCTCCATTGATGTATGGGTTATTAGCTATATTAGCCGAGATATGACCACATCTGGAATATGAGGGTGCGAAAAAAACGGAAAATAAATGTTTTATATATTTGCGGTAAGGAATGTACAAAATATCTTTACTTAATATCCTAATGATTTTTGGCATAAAAGAAAAATCGATAAGTTTGACCCATACAAGTATAGTTGTGTATTGCCACAGATACACCCGTGTGTCATGTGACTGGTTTCGTGGTCACATGTCTCCATGAACTGTCTCGTAGGGTTTCTGTGATCCTCGGTTCGGGGATGTGGTGATCGTGCGGCCCATGAGGGATTATTCCTCTAAAGAGATCGCCGCGTACTGTAGGATGTTTCACGTGCCGTCCGTCTTTATCCCGGGTCTGGAGACCAAGGTGAGAGTGTGTGTCCTCAGGCCTAACGCACTGAGACGCTTTCCTTTGAAAACACATCTTCTGTTCGCACTGAGACAGCGTTTTATTCATGAAAACAAAGATTTGAGACTTTGATCCTGCGCTTCAACTTCCCCTTCAGACTCCGGATAAAGCCGGCATCCAGCGACTCACGGAGGCTTTCGTCACCAACCTTCAGGCCGAGTTCCCCTCCACTGTCAGCACCATCTACAGGTCCTCTTCCTCATCTCATCTTCATCAACAGCTCTGACTTCAGTGTTTTATATTTCATTGTTGTCTCGATGTTTGCTCCGCAGAACGAGTGAGAAGCTTCACACAGTCAAACCTTCCGGAAGTGAAGCCACTGAACCTGCGTCTAAATGCCTTCTGTGTGTGTGCGCTCTCGACACTGATGTGGGTGAGTGTGTGTGACAGGGCCATCAGCGAGAGTGCAGAATGCGGGAGTCAGTCGTGGCTTACTATAAAGGAAGCGCTATTGACAATCTAAATAATAGTTTTGTTTGACTACGGCAGCTGGTTTAGTCCAAAAATGTGCGGGTCTGTTCGAGGTCGGATCACGTTCTGCACAAACAAACCGCACCGAGGGCTCTAGTGCGACTCGACCCAACTAAAGAAAAGCACCTGGTTATCAGTTATTTGCTTTCAAATATAAAGAATTATCGGTTATCGGCTTTCAAATATAAAGAATTATCGGTTATCGAATGTAAAGAATTATCGGTTTTTGGCTTTCAAATATAAAGAATTATCGGTTATCGGCTTTCGAATGTAAAGAATTATCGGTTTTTGGCTTTCGAATATAAAGAATTATTGGTTATCGGCTTTCGAATGTAAAGAATTATCGGTTATTGGCTTTCGAATGTAAAGAATTATCGGTTATCGGCTTTCGAATGTAAAGAATTATCGGTTATCGGCTTTCGAATGTAAAGAATTATCGGTTTTTGGCTTTCGAATGTAAAGAATTATCGGTTATAGGCTTTCGAATGTAAAGAATTATCGTTTTTTGGCTTTCGAATATAAAGAATTATCGGTTAGTGGCTTTCAAGTATAAAGAATTATTGGTTATTGGCTTTCGAATATAAAGAATTATCGGTCATTGGCTTTCGAATATAAAAAATTATCGGTCATTGGCTTTCGAATATAAAGAATTATCGGTCATTGGCTTTCAAGTATAAAGAATTATCGGTTATTGGCTTTACATATAAAGAATTATTGGTTTTTGCCTTTCGAATATAAAGAATTATCAGTTATTGGCTTTCAAATTAGGGATGCACCGATACCGATACCGGTATCTGGTATCGGCCTCGATACCACATTTTCTAAAGTACTCGTACTCGTTAAAAGTCCCCCGATACCGGGGACCGATACCATGTTCTGAGAAATGGGTTAATCACAGGCGCCGAGTGCCCACCCCCAGGCTCCGGCTGCAGCTCAGAGCGGGGAGATGGGGAGACATGTCAGCCGTGTGGAACAGTGATGCGCGGGTCAATGTATAAACAACCCGCACACTACCAACGTTTTCAACTACCCGCCCGCTACTCGGACCGCAAAAAAAGTAAGAAAATATTGTACCCGACCCTCTTCCTGACCGTATTTTTTAAAAGTAGTACATGCTCATCGTAGCGTCATTGGGCCATAAACGTGTAACAACACAGTATCGCAAGAAGACGTAGCCTACATATAACAAAGGCAGCACTTTGGTCATCATCTTTCATTATTTCGGTAAATGTTTCCAACACTTACTCTTTCTATTTGTGTATTTGCGGAGCTTCCACTCCCCCAGTCTTCACCTTTTCTCTTGCCGCCTCCATCTCTCTGCAGACTAGTGATCATAGACATGGCCGGTTCGTGAACGAATCGGTTCTTTTTAATGAACCGGTCGAACCAGTACGCTAAATCGAACTGAATCATTCGCATCAGTTCACGTCTTGCGTCAGTGCTGATCCACAAGTTACTACAGTTACTCACTTTCAGACATGCCTGACAGTCCCTCCGAGTTGAAATAAACCAATATCCCGAATTATATTTTACTCCAGTAACTCTAACAGTTCACTGAACTGAGACATGTTGTTGATACTGCTGATACTGCGCATCCGCGTATAGTAACGAACGCAGAGTACAGCGGTTCTCGGATCACACCAGTACAGAACTGAGAACTGTTTAGACTGAGCTTGTGTGTCATCTTCGTGCCAGTTATTCAGCCAATAAATAAATTCGGCCTATATATTTCATAGAAAATTCTATCTAGTACTATATAAATACAAAGGTTTAATTGGCATTTTTTTCCAAACGACCTGACCGACCGCGACCCGAATATCATTAAAAATATTTTTGGATGACCCGTAACTGCGGGTGACCGCGGCGCAGGCACCCGCTCATTTTGGATCAACCCGTGCATCACTGGTGTGGAACAATTTCAAAGTGAATGGCTTTGGATTAGGAGAATAAGTTTACTTGTAGTCGCCAAGTTACTTATAGTCAGTTGAATGTCTGTTGGGGGACCAAATAAATAAAGTGTTATCAGATATTAAGCTGATCGTACTAATACTCTAGTCTACTAATACTCTAATGACAGTTAGTTGACATGTAATTGAAAAGTTACTTATAGTTAGTAAAGTGGACAATCGAAATAAAGTGTTACCCAAGTAATTTAATCAAGGACCTAAAAACCCGTATATAAAAATATTTAAATCATGTTTTTTTTTGTTTTTTTATTAAGTACTCAGTATCGGTATCAGCGAGTACTGAAATGCAAGTACTCGTACTCGTACTCGTTTTCCAAAAAAGTGGTATCGGTGCATCCCTATTTCAAATATAAAGAATTATCGGTTATTTGCTTTCAAATGTAAAGAATTATCGGTTATCGGCTTTCAAATGTAAAGAAGTATCGGTTATTGGCTTTCAAATGTAAAGAAGTATCGGTTATAGGCTTTCGAATGTAAAGAATTATCGGTTTTTGGCTTTCGAATATAAAGAATTATCGGTTATCGGCTTTCGAATGTAAAGAATTATCGGTTATCGGCTTTCAAATGTAAAGAATTATCGGTTATCGGCTTTCGAATATAAAGAATTATCGGTTATCGGCTTTCGAATGTAAAGAATTATCGGTTATCGGCTTTCGAATATAAAGAATTATCGGTTTTTGCCTTTCGAATATAAAGAATTATCAGTTATTGGCTTTCGAATATAAAGAATTATCGGCCAATATTTTCAAATCGGTGCATCTCTAATAGTTCAGTTTCAATTCACTGCTACTCTCTTTGAATCCCTAATAAGTATCGTGCAACAAAGCAGCGCAAAACTAAAGTGTAAACTTATTACCGATAATAACCCTGATGGTTATTACAGAATGCCACCATTGACCTCAAACACATGGGAATGCCTCTGAACCACATCAACTAAAGGAAAGCACCTGGGTCCGGTGGTTCCCGCAGGATTGCTCGAGTCTCCTCCTCCTCTCGGGCCGGCGGCGGTGAAGTGTTCGCACAACGAGGACGTTCATTTGACGAATGAGAGTCGGCGCTGCAGGGAGTAATGGAGTAATAATGACAGTCTGTTCGTTCATGTTGTCAGAGTTACCCGCCGAACTGACGACACGCTGACGTCACACACACGTCCGTTTACAAACCAATCAGAGTCGAGATGCCCCCCATAGATGATGACGCACGCCCGTCATGTAGAGTTCTTCAGTGCGCTCGCATAATAACAATGTGAAAACAAAACTTACCGAGTGTATGAAATGTATCCAGACATGAACTTTGGTTCGGTCCTGGTGGACCCGCCCAACACCACAAACGGCCGCCATGATCCAAACATGAGCCTGACGTAACTGTGTTCCTCTGCAGATAAAGCTTCGGCTTTCCACGCCACTCTGGTGTCTGAGCAGCTGTCCCAGATCAAGCCTCAGGACGTGTCCCATGATGCAGTGTGCTGCTCGGAGACTGAGTGTTGTGGGACCGGCGGCTGCTCCTCAAACCGGTGGCGTATTTCTTGTCTCTTTCGTGTATTATAAGCCGAGTCCGTAGACGACGTGCTCTTGATGTTATTCCTGCTTCTCTGGTGTATCTCAGGGTTCCTGCACATCAGGACTGGAGGACGCTGTTGTGTTACAGCTGTAGACTCACGCTCAAGGACATGGTGAGCGACAAAATCAAATTACAGATTTAAAGCACATGTGTGTGTGTGTGTGAAGTTTGAGCTCAAACACCCCACAGATCATTTTCATAGCATGTTAAAATGGCCGCAAAATCGCGCCTTTTTGTGTGTGTCTCTTTAAATGCAAATGAGGTGGTGTGCCACGCCCCCTTTTAAGAAGAGGGCGGGGCTTTGAGCGCTTATACTGGGCAACAAAACACGCAGTACGGATGTAATAAATGACGTATGGAGAGAGAACGGGGGTAGTTTAGTTTAATCACGGTTATAACTTATGTTGTCATCTTGCTTTAATCCAGTATTAATACAATAAACTTCTTAAAACGTATTAATAAAGTTTAGGCCATCACACAAAAGCTAAATGGTACGTTTCACTCCATCAAAACACAGTATCAAGTGTGCATTAAAGTGTTGTCCATAAACTCTCTCTCTTATTATAATCAATTAAACCCAAACACTCGCTACAACGAACAGCTGACACATATACACACTTTATGCCTTTTCAGGAGGTGCTTAATAACCTGATAAACTTTATATCCGTAAAACAACTGTAATAAAGTGTGCGCTCTCTCTAGAGGGTGTATTTTTATCATTGCTGCTGATTGTGTTCACACACTGCCAACACACATTGGTCCAAAAAAAAAAAGGATTTTGCATAATATAATTGTTATTGGGGTGCTTTAAAGGTGCAGTGTGTAATATTCAGGAGGATCTGTTGACAGAAAGGCAATATCATATCCATAACTGTGTTTTCAGTGGTGTATAAAGACCTTACTAATGAAGCATTATGTGTTCACACATCCACATGTTTCTACGGTGGCCCTGAGGGGACAAACGCGTTTCGTCACTGTTGTTCTTCATGTAAAGATCTAGCGAATAAAACACAGACACAATGATGAACAAGTCACAATAATAATCGCAATAACATCGTTTTACTGAAAAATAAAGTAAATTAATTTATCTTGGTAAAGAAACTTCAGTGTTTACCTACTCTCTGCTGTCTCAGACGACGACATCACTTCCTGTCGGTCACCGTAACTTCAGTTGGGTGTAATTCACAACCTCACCACTAGATGCCGCTTGAACTTACACACTGCACCTTTAACAAGTATATAAACGTTCACTTTTAGAGCCCTACAGTGGGGAAAGAAATGAACCCAACATGTGTTAGTGAACACTTCCTCTTTCCCACAGGGATCCGTCGACGCTCTTCCCGCGTACATCAGGACAGAGGCGGAGAAGCGGAGGAAAAGGTGGGAAGTTAAATCACCTTAAATAATCTTCTTCATTGTTCACATCATCATATTCCTTCTTCAATGGAACGCAAAATGTTAATATCCGGGACGCTCTTCTCCGTACATGAGTTTCAAAAATATGAAACGGTCCAGTCACTCGAGTCTTTCACAGCCGAAGTTAATCGATTAGATGAAGACTGAATTAATTCATATTCAGAACTATTATATCCCAGCTGATTAAAACACCCTCATGTACACACACACACACACACACTGTAGAAATTTTTTTTCAAAAAAAATTTGTTATCACAACATTTTTTCTTTTGTCAAATCAAATTAGTTCAGATAACTTATTATTTTGAGTTTCTGATGATTAAATCAGTCTCTTTCATTGTATTAACTCACTTTTTCCATTTCAATCAACTTAAAATTAAGGCAACCAGGTTACTTATTTTTTTAAGTTAAACCAACAATATTTTTTTACAGTGCATGATTGTTTCGGATGTTCCGTAATAAAAGCGGTTTCTTTTGTTTTGTATCTTTAGGTTCAGTTTTATGAATGACAGTGTGAACGCTACACGAACCAAGAGTAAATTATCATCTTATTTTTTGATTCGGACCAAAAGAAGTGTGAACCGCCTCAGTCACTCGACATGTTTACGAATTTATCTAGTGCGCAAAATTTGATTAAATCATAGAACAAGAACATCACTTCCGGATAAACTGGTGCCAAATATCACTAGAGAAAATGTTCGTTGCATTTCTTTGGTGGATAAAGACTTGCTTTCGGCGGCAGAATCGAGTTTAAACTGAACACTAATCATCAAACTGATCCGCTTTGACGTTTTGAGATGCTGTGACGCGATTGGTCCGCTGGTTATGCCGTCACATGACTTTTTGGACGTGTATCGAGGGATGTGTTTCCAGTGCATGAAAAAAAAAGTTTTTTTTTTTTATGTACATTTTTAGAGTTGATGTGCATCTTGGCATTTCCATTCATCATTTTTTTTTTAAATTTTATGCAAAATCCCAAAATTTGCATGTGAATGTCTATGGTTTCTTCCCACAGAGCTTTGATGAAGATGGAAATCAGCGAGTATCTTTTGGAGGATGGCGACTAGCAGATGTTTAGTTTGAAAAGTGATATTTAAGTATTGCATTGTAATAATTTCATTATTTGTCTCCATTTGAAAGTGAATAAAAAAAAAGTTTTAAATATTTAATAGCGGCACGTTTTTTGTTGCTTGAGCACCTTTGGCTTGTTTTATAGCATCAGTGAACCTGTCGCCTGCCATTTAAATCAATATAAACTTTTATATATTCAGTTGTTTGTACAGTAATTTAATAATGAGTTCTTAATTTAGCAAACTGCAAGGATTTTTTACAGGCTCGTTTGATTTCTGAAGACAAACATGTTCGTGTCTCTTTGCATAAGCATACAGTGGAAGTGATTATTACAGACGAGCTTCGGCACACTCATTATTACACACGTGTGCGTTTAACACATACAATACATCATCCCACATCACAGCTCTGGAAATACGGAGCAGATTCTAGTCTTAATTACGATTCAAGTGTTTGATCAGAAATTGTAAAACCAGGAACGAAACACTAAATGGCTCTCATCATAAGATACTGTGGCTTGTAAACACTTTTACTGTAGTATCAGAACAAAAAAACAACAAAAAAAAGTTAAAATCTCACAAAATCCATCAAGTCTGGGTCATATTTCACCTCAAAATTACACAACGGAATAAACGTTTCAGAAAAACAAATATACCGTAAAGTTTTGATAATAGATTGATAATACTGTTAAACAAATTACAATAACTGGCATTCAGTCATGTGACGTTATGCTTGTGCTTATTAAAACCAATAGCAAGCAAACAATTAGCATTAATTTTAGTAAAGACATGCTATGATAAATTTGAACACGGATGCTTGTTATTATGTCACACGTGTATATATAGATTGTGTGGATATTTGCTTCAGAAGTCATGGAAATGTATTATTAAAGTGCACTTGTTACTATTTATTTAATATTTTTCATAATAAAAATGAACATTTATGTTGTGGAATATTTATTAATTGAGTATTTGTTCGGTGTGCCTCTTTATGTTATGCTTATTTTGATTTAAACAAAATTATTTTACAGTAGTAATGCAGAATGTATTCTAGAACAATCGTAATAATCCTCCTTGGGAACAACTTTACTTTGGAAAATCCCTGTAATTGGGTGGTCAAATATAACCCAGACGGAGTTTCGAGATTCACTCTTATAGTGTTTGTATTTCCACTCGGAAGGTCCTGCCGTTTCGTTCCCAGCGTTCACTAGCGTCTGAATCAGTCACAGGGCTGATTCTCAAGCTTTGCTGAATAACAGACGACCTCCATCATCAAACCTCTGAGTGCAAAGAAGCCGATAACGTCAGCGGGGCTTCGAAGCGCTGCAGAAACGCTGTTCATCCAACTTATATAAAGCAGAGAAGCTTCTAGTCCCACAAACCCCTCTCAGTGTTGATTCTTCTCTCTCGTCCACTTGATCATGGTCTCTGGAGAGCGATAGAGGAAGATGAGTTTGGAGTAAAGCTCTTCCTCCAGCTCCAGTTCTCCGGTTTCCCGCACCAGGAAAATGTCTATGCATATTTTGAGTATGCGATCGACGCACGGCAACTCCTCGAACATGATGGAGTGAGAGATCTCGCTGAAGAAACCTCGCACAAATTTACCGATGACCAAAACCACCGACACGTACAGACCCATGATCCTGCGGGAGGAGAGAGAGACGTTTGCATGGATAAAAAAAGGGATGCATGATATATTGTTACGGGCTGATATATGTTCATTTTTATTGGTATCTGCCGATATATTAAATTTTTTTTAATGCTATTGGTATCGGCCGATATATGTTAATGTTTATCGGTATCAGCCGATATATGTTCATGTTTTAATGTTATCGGCCGATATATGTTCATTTTTTAATGTTATCGGCCGATATATGTTCATTTTTTAATGTTATCGGCCGATATATGTTCATTTTTTAATGTTATCGGCCGATATATGTTCATTTTTATCGGTATCTGCCGATATATGTTCATTTTTTAATGTTATCGGCCGATATATGTTCATTTTTTAATGTTATCGGCAGATATATGTTCATTTTTTAATGTTATCGGCCGATATATGTTCATTTTTATTGGTATCTGCCGATATATTTAAAATTTTTAATGTTATTGGTATCGGCCGATATATGTTCATGTTTATCGGTATCTGCCGATATGTTCATGTTTATCGGTATCTGCCGATATATGTTAATTTTTTAATGTTATCGGCCGATATATGTTCATTTTTATTGGTATCTGCCGATATATATTTACATTTTTTTAATGCTATTGGTATCGGCCGATATATGTTCATGTTTATCGGTATCTGCCGATATATGTTCATTTTTTAATGTTATCGGCCGATATATGTTCATTTTTTAATGTTATCGGCCGATATATGTTCATTTTTTAATGTTATCGGCCGATATATGTTCATTTTTTAATGTTATCGGCCGATATATGTTCATTTTTATTGGTATCTGCCGATATATTTAATTTTTTTTCATGTTATTGGTATCAGCCGATATATGTTCATGTTTATCGGTATCTGCCGATATATGTTCATGTTTATCGGTATCTGCCAATATATGTTAATTTTTTTATGTTATCGGCCGATACATGTTCATTTTTATTGGTATCTGGCGATATATTTAAAAAAATGTATGTTATTGGTATCGGCCGATATATGTTCATTTTTCTCAGCCTCTGCCGATATATTTCCTTTTTTTAATGTTATCGGCCGATATACGTTCATTTTTATTGGTATCTACTGATATCTTTTCTTTTTTTATGATATCGGTTTCTGTCGATATCTGTTGAAATTTTTAATTTTGTTGGTATCTGCTGGTATATGTTAATTTTTTATGTTATCGGCCGATATATGTTAATTTTTAATGTTATCAGCCTGATAAGAAAATTTGCCCGATATATTAAAGCCGATAAATAATGTATTATTTCCTTCAACTGAGACTCTTCAGATGCGCACTGTTCAACATGATAGTTTTGAGTTGCTTGAAATATGATTGGAATCACTTCAAAAAAGGAAAATACAGTAAAGTGCAAGTCTGTCATATCGGCTACATAAACATATAATGAGAACATCATTATAATTGTGTGTTTGGGACATGGATTTTAATGACGTGACATGTTTTTGTAATCAGGCTCTCAAAAATTATATGAAAATTTGGATTTAGATTTATCGGCCAATTTATCGGTTATCGGCTTTCAAATATAAAGACTTATCGTTTCTCGTATCGGCCCAAATGTTCACATCAGCGCATCCTAATAAAAAGCCTGCACCGAATCTCATGAAAGGAATGGGTTACCCGTATCCCGCAAGGAAGCCCAGACTCGGAGGGCTGACTTTATCGTTAAAGATGACCATCGGTAAGACGTCGCAGGACTCGAGGCAGCCGGCGATCCTGATGTCCCACCACTCCTGAGCTCCTGTGATGTTCATCGAAGCTTCTCTCTTCAGAGACAGAGTCACGTCCTGGTATCCCTCCTCTCCTCCTGTTGGAGAAACACAACAAAAGTAATTCTTTTCAATAGTGACAAAGTATATTTGTGTAATTTAATATAGTTTTGCGTACAATTCTGAGATTGCATTTTACAGCTTTAATTCATTTTGAGGAATACTGAAAGTGAGATGAGTTAATGCATGTTCACATTTAGTCTAGAATTTACTCCAGTCTTCAGTGTCACATGATCCATTTTTGAGACTGCAGAAGTCATTCAAATTTGGGGAAACCACTTGAAACATTTATTGTGTTGAGCTATTTAAATTTTAAATTACTTTTCTTTGAGTTGAAAGTCTGAATTTTGCCAATAAACCTGATTTGCAATGGGGGTTGAATAGTTTTGATTACAACAGGGTGAAAATTCCTCAGTTCACTAGAAACATATTAAGGAGCAAAGTCACAAGAGTATGGAAGCTTGTTTCCGCCACAGAATGAAAAATAAAAAAGGTAACTGCGACTTTCTCTAACAATTCTGACGTTATTTTCACAATTGCGAGATATAAAGTCAGAATTGTGTGAAATAAAGTCGAAATTGCGTGTTGTAAAGTCAGGATAAAGTCAGAATTGCGTGATATAAAGTCAGAATTGCGAGATATAAAGTCAGAATTGCGAGATATAAAGTCAGAATTGCGTGATATAAAGTCAGAATTACGAGATATAAAGTCAGAATTGCGAGATATAAAGTCCGAATTGCGTGATATAAAGTCGCAATTGCAGGTTATAAAGTCAGAATTGTGAGATATAAACTTTTCTGTGGGGAAAAAAAGTTAGTCTTTTTTTATCCTTAAAATTGGCCTGATAACTTGCAATTGCGAGTTTATATCTCACAATTCTGAGAAACGATGTCAGAATCTTAAGATATAAACTCGCAATTGTGAGAAAAAGTCTGAATTGTGAAATAAAAAGTATCAATTCTTTATTTTTTTTCTTGCAATTGCGACTTTATTTCTCATAATTGTGACTTTTTATCTCACAATTGCGACTTTATTTCTCATAATTCTGACTTTTTATCATCTCACAATTGCGACTTTATTTCGCATAATTCTGACTTGATATCTCGCAATTGCGACTTTATTTCTCATAATTTTTATATCTCGCAATTGTGACTTTATTTCCCATAATTGTGACTTTATATCTCGCAATTGTGACTTTATTTCCCATAATTGTGACTTTATATCTCGCAATTGCGACTATTTCTCATAATTGTGACTTTATATCTCGCAATTGCGACTTTATTTCTCATAATTGTTATATCTCGCAATTGTGACTTTATTTCCCATAATTGTGACTTTATATCTCGCAATTGCGACTATTTCTCATATTTGCGACTTTATATGTCGCAATTGCGACTTTATTTCTCATAATTTTTATATCTCGCAATTGTGACTTTATTTCCCATAATTGTGACTTTATATCTCGCAATTGCGACTATTTCTCATAATTGTGACTTGATATCTCGCAATTGCGACTTTATTTCTCATAATTTTTATATCTCGCAATTGTGACTTTATTTCCCATAATTGTGACTTTATATCTCGCAATTGTGACTTTATTTCCCATAATTGTGACTTTATATCTCGCAATTGCGACTATTTCTCATAATTGTGACTTTATAACTCGCAATTGCGACTATTTCTCATAATTGTGACTTTATAACTCGCAATTGCGACTATTTCTCATAATTGTGACTTTATAACTCGCAATTGCGACTATTTCTCATAATTTTTTTTATATCTCGCAATTGTGACTTTATATCTCGCAATTGCGACTTTATTTCTCATAATTGCGACTTTATAACTCGCAATTGCGACTATTTCTCATAATTTTTATATCTCGCAGTTGCGACTTTATTTCTCATAATTGTGACTTTATATCTCGCAATTGCGACTTTATTTCTCACAATTCTGACTTCATATCTCGCAATTGTGAGATAAAAATTTGCAATTATTATTTATTTATTTTGTATTCAGTTTTGGAAACAAGCTTCCCTAGAACTGTGCCTGACTACAACACTAAAGAAAGTCTGGCTCTTTTACCCTTGTACAGCTGGCTGAC